GTCATCTTCGTCGTCGTTGTCTGTGGAGGGGTGAGATGGGAAGGAGCGAGACTTCAACAATGGGGGGTGGTGATGCTGGGGGTGCTGGTGGTGGGGTAGTTGGTGGTGTCCCCCTCTGGGCCCGGGGTGAGGGGGGGACGTGGGGGAATAGAAGGCCGGCGGCTGTTCGCCGTAGAGGCTCCGTCGAGGGTCATGGTCGAGGAATCTGCCGTGAGGATCGTAGTACATCCGATCCAGGGGAAGCGATCGGGACAGCATCGTCGCGGCAGCGGCGGCGGGCTGGCCATGTGGGCCGTAGTACCGCTCGGGCCACGTCAGATTCCTGGCGTTGTTGTCGTCAACATAATCATCCTCGCCGTCGTCGTTACTGTCGCTGTTGCCATGGCGACGACCATGACCCGGCGCTCTCAGTCTGACGACCCCCGATGACCCGGGCCGAGAAGAACCGTCTGTCAAGGTCACAAAATCAGCCGTCGTTGTTGTCGTCTCATTATTAGTCAAAGGCACCTGTCGACCACCAAGGTCGCGATCGTCGTCGTCGAAGAAGTAACCACCGCCGCCCCCATCCACCCTCCTCCCCCCTCCCCTCCCTTGGTCCCAGGCTTGAGAAGACAAGAGCGAGGCACGCATGTCGGATGATTGGTCGAGGGTTCGGGTCTGCGGCAGGAAGAAGATGCTGTCGGTGTTGTTTAGCGAGGTCACAAGGTCTCCTCCTCCTCCATTCTGTTGCCAGCGGTCCCGTTTTGCCGCAGGTTCACTGGAAAGAGACGACGCAAAAATTATAGCAACCAAAAAGAAATATAACATGTCTACAATAATTGCCATTTACTTTTGATTTTTGTTGGAAGAAAGTTGCCCCCCCCAAAAAAAATATAAAAAAATTTTTTAACCCAAAAAATCCCAACAACAGAAAAAGAATAAAAAAGAAAAAGGCTCCATCACTGTTTAGCATTTTTTTCCAGCAAATCATCACCCCTGGCTTACGTGTGTTTTTGAGATGTTGACCAAAAAACAAGCATATGGCCACAATAACTGTCGTTTAGTTTTGCTTTTTGTTTGAAAAAAGTTGTCTAAAAAAAAGAAAAAAAAAAGAAAAAGGCTCCCTCCATGAGTGCCTAGCATTTTTTCAGCAAGTCATCACCCCTGCCTTACTTGTGTTTCTGCAGTTTTATTTGTCATGGAATGACCCAGTAACATTCTACTCCAGCAAAGCAATGATTAAGCAACCAAAATTCACTACCCTGATTGATAAACTTTTAAAGATGTTGCCCAAAAGAAACATATGGCCTCAATAACCGTCATTTAGTTACGTTTTTTTGTGTTTTGTTTCGGAAAGGTTGCCGTTAAAAAAAATGAACAAGGCTCTATCACAACTTAGAATTATTTCAGCAAGTCATCACCCCTGCCTTATGTGTGTTTCTGCATTTTTTTTTGGGGGGGGGGGATTGTTTTGTAGCACTTGCAACACAATAAGGTCATATAAGTGCCGAAGATTAGAGGTGTTACAACAAAGTAACAAACACAGAACACAAAAAAGGAGGAGAGATAAGGACGATAGAAGAAGCAAACCACACCAGAGCACCCGCCAACCACCCACATCACCCCTGCCTTACTAGCGTTTCTGCAGTTTTATTTGTCATGGAATGACCCAGTAACATTCTACTCCAGCTACCAAAATTTCACTACTCTGATTGATAAACTTTTTGAGATGAAGACCAAAAACAAGCATGTGGCCTCAATAACTGTCATTTAGTTTTGTATTTTGTCAGGGAAAAACAAAGAAAAAGAAGAAGGCTCAATCAAATGCTTAGAAACTTATCAGCAAGTCATCACCCGTGCCTTACGTGTGTTTCTGAAGTTTAATTTGTCATGGAATGACCCAGTAACAGTAACATTCTACTCCAGCAAAGCAACGATTGGCCACAAGAACGCATTTATTTTGTTTTGTTTTGTTTGGGGAAAGTTGTCTCCAAAAAAACACACAAAAAAAAAACAGGGGCTCAATCACTGCTCTGCATTTTTTCAGCAATTCATCACCTGTGCCTTAAATTTGTTTCTGCAGTTATGTTTGTCAAG